CCACGCCCCCCACTGTCGGGCGCGAGCCCGCCGCCGTCCTCGTCTCCGCTGCGCCGCCGCTCCGGCTGAGCCCTGGGGGCGGGGCTGTCGGGGAAAGTGCCAAAACCGCCGAGGTAAGTGGCCGAGGGCTCAGGGACCCGCGGGAGCTTGGTGGGAATGGAGCTCGTCCTTGGGATCCTACCTGCAGGGACTAGTAAAAAGGAGCAGCTAGGAGAAACAGGAGCCTGCCGCAGAGGGCGTGTGAAAGGGAATTTCCTTAGGCCGCGACGGGGGAGTGCGCAAGCGCGCCTAGCGGTGGCGCATGCGCGCTGGCCCCTTGGGAAGCGGGTGGGGGTTGGGCGGCGAGCGTGGCTCGGAATTAGCTGGGCAGCCTCCGGCGTCCTGACTCCTTCCCTCCGCGGCTCCTTTCTCTCCACCCCACCTGGTTTTAGCTGCAGCGTCTGTTTGAATGGTAATCCAGCTAGTTAAGCGGGACGCAGTGAAACGATTTGATGAAGGAATTTAATGATTGCTTATAATAATTTGCCACTGTACCACAGTACCTCTTTCGGCGTCTATCTTTTGAATAAGACTTTTTCAAAAGGAAGGAATCTTTTTTTTTTTTTTTTTTAAACAAAATAAGCATATATCTACTATCTGCTAGGAAGGAAAGTAGTTTATGCATACAAGGTCATCCCTGTCATACGTGAAGTAAATATTTACTCATCTTAGTGTGGACACAGCCATTCTGTGTCCCCCAAAAGTAGCATTTCTACCCCATGAGGATCTCTGATAAGGCCAAACCCCAGGTTACTTCATCATCAATATTTACTCATTCAACAAAATCTTACTGAGCCACCTACTTTGGGCCTGGCAGCCTAGTGGGAGAGGGTTGAGTAAATAGATCTGCAGAATGAGAAAGAAAAGAAAACAGTAGTGGCCCAGCCAATGTTGCTCAGTGGTTGAGCATCCTCCCTTGCACCAGGAGGTCTTGGTTTGGATTCTAGTCTGGGCACTTTGCATTCAGGTCAGGGCACATGCTTGACCCAGGCATGCAGGAGGCAGCCAATCATGTTTCTCTCTTATCTGAAGTTTCTATCTCTCCCTCTCCTTTCCTCTCTGAAATCAGTCAATCAATAAAAAAAAATTTTTAATGAGTGGGCAAGGAGGTATTCTTGCTCTAATCCATATATTAAAAAAGAAAACAGTAATGAGCCAACCCTCATGACACCAAGCTTCTCTATCCCCTTCATAACCTTTGCTGAGCTGGTAGCACTGTATTCTGTCATTTATTCATCATTCATGCAGGAAACGTTGTGATCCAGGTTCTGTGCCAAGTCTTTTTTTTTTTTTTTACAGTTGACATTCATTATTATTTTCTACTTGGCCATTTTGACCAGAACTCTGAGCTAGGACCTGAAGGTAGAAAGACAACTCCTCCCCTTCCTAGATCTCAGGGTTCTTCCTAAGATCATGAGCTCTATGTTATTGGAGGGCATTTTTCCTCTTCCTGAGCAGACCCTAGGAGCTTGCTGACTCAATGTCAAACGGAGAGGTTTAGAACTTTTCCATGAGCGTATTAGGACATAATAAGTATGAAAAGGCTATCTGCATGGGGGGGGGGAAGAGATTCAAAAGTAAATACTCATTAGTGATTTGGGATAGCTAATATTATTAAGTGTTTACTGTGCCTGTAACTGTTCCAAGTGCTTTAGTTATATTAACCTTCATGGTACCTCTGAGGTAGGTACTATTATCCGCATTTTAGAAATAAGGCAGCTGAGGAACAGAGACATTAAGTGATTTGTCCAGGATTATATAGCAAGTAGCAAAACCAGGACATGAACAAAAGCCTAGAGGCTTCAGAATCTGAGCCCTCTTTTTTTTTATTTTTTTAGTGAGAGAGAAACTTCAATGTGTGAAACATCAATCAGTTGCCTCCTACACATGGGCTCAAACCCAAAGCCTTGGTATGTGCCCTGACCAGGAATCGAACCCAAAACCTTTTGGTGTAGGGATGATGCTCCAACCAAGTGAGCCAACTGCTTATTTATGTTAAAGTTAGCTTTGTGCTAATTCTGCACTCCAGTTTTCAACCCTGGCTGTTTTGTGTATCGAATGATCTGAATTTGAAAGGAAATAGGATGAAAGGGAATTTCTTTGATTATATTCAGTTTAGAAGACACACTGTGTCTAGCCTTTGAAGCTGTCCTCACTCTGGCAGTAGTCAGCTTAAGTGCTCTGCTGAGAAACTTGATTTCAAAATATAAAGTATATCTTACATTTGCAACTGAATAAAACATATATCAAGGTGTCAGAAAAAGATTAGAGTTTAAGTCTTAGGTGAGGTATATAAACAGTTCACAGTCAGTGAGTTTTATTCTGAACTAATGGGAGATAAGATTGAGCTATTTTCTAAAAGATAGCTAAGTAGCCCTGACTGGTTTGGCTCAGTGGTTGGAGCAAGGTGGGACTGAAGGGTCTCAGGCACATACCTCGGTTGCAGGCTTAATCCCTGGCCTCGGTCAAGGCACATTCAGGAGGCAGCCAATCCATGTGTCTCTCTCACATGGATGTTTTTCTTTCTCCCACTCTTTCTGAAAAATAAAATAAAAAATAAAAAACAAAAGATAGCCAAGTTGTCTGTATAATTTATTTATATCCCAATAGGAATCTGCTTAGGAATTTGGACCTGGTCCGTTACTGCTTAAGTTCTTCTTTAAGAGAACTTTTAAACTTGTCAAGCTATATTTTCAGTTAGTGTGGTCCAAAGTATGGATCTAACTTCAAAAGGTGTTGCCTCTATGAGTAGGAATACAATTTGGAAAGTTACAGAGCTCAGAGTGAAGAAGGAAAGGTGATCTAATACAAGGTTGAAAGTGTCATTAGTTTGCTTTTTTTCTTTTTAATATATCTTTATTGATTTCAGAGAAAGGAAAGGAGAGGGAGAGAGAGAGATAGAAACATCAATGATGAGAGAGTCATTGATCGGCTGCAGCCAGCAACCCGGGCATGTGCCCTGACTGGGAATCGAACCCCATCACCTGGATCCCAGGTCGACGCTCAACTGCTGAGCCACGCCTGGCCGGGCGAGTTTGCATTTTTAAATAGGTTGACATTCTAATTATAGCAGCTGCCTTACTGTTCCCATATCCCACTGCAGTTTTTATCGGTATTATATAGACATATAATGAAATCAGAAACTAAGGTCTGCTTCCCTCACAGTCTTAAATCATCATCACAAAATTAAGGAAACAGACCAGCCAGATTTTCAGAAATGCACATTATATTCTTTTTCTTGCTAAGAGATTGGATTAGGCATATATAGCATTTATATCTGTATAGCTTTTCCTCTTTTTTTTTTTTCAAAAATAAGTTTCAGGGAGGTAGAAGTGGGCAAAGAAGGCATAAATGGTTGTGGAAAAAGACAACTTTGAGTGGTGAGCATTATAGAGTTGTACATTTGAAACCTGTATGGTTTTATTAACCAGTGTCACCCCAATAAATTCAATAAAAATAAATAAGTTTCAACTTTTTATAATAAGCATATTGATTTTGCAACTAGCAAAATAAAAAGGTCAGCTAAAATTCTCTGGCCATTTAGAAGGGGAATTCATTTTTAAAATCCATTTGAAGTCATTTTAACCTTTTTTTAAATTGAGCTAAAATTCACATAACATAAATTAACCATTAGCCATTTTTAAGTATACAATTCAGTTTAAAGTCATTTTTTAGTCTAAATACTGGAGCTGTACTTTCCAGTGCAGTAACCACTAGCCACATGTGCTACTTAAATATCAATTAACATTAAATAAAATTTAAAATACAGTTCTTCAATCACACTAGTTTAATAGCCACGTGAGGGTAGTGATTGCCATGTTAAACAGGCAGAAATAGAATATTAGAACATTTCTATAATTGCAGGAAGTTATGTTAGCACAGGACTAGACCTTTTTATTTTTAAGAAAACATACACTTTTTAGAATTTTCTATAAATGTATGGTGTAATGTAAACTTCTAGGGCAAAGGTAGTATTTTTGTTTTAAACTTTTGTAAGGAGTCAGATATTCAGTATAGATTTTCTCAGCTGCGTTTGAACGTTTTGATTTTTTGATAAGGCGAGGTTTTGAAATGCTCAACAGCTGCTGTATTCCTAATAGGCCATGAATTCTTGAATCATTTCCTGAGCTATTTTGTTCCAGTCTTGGGATGCCACCAAGTGATCAACTTGAATATTACACTTGGATGAAAAGTTTTTTTAAAATTTTAATGAAAGGGCCAATATGTACTTCCTAACCAATTCCCCTTCCTTGGGAACAGAACACAGTGTTATTTTGGAATTTCATTTGGAAAATTTTATAAGTGAATTTTTGCTGTGGGTTGGTCAGGCTGTATCCAAGACAAACTGTCCTATGAAGCATAGTTGTTTTATCCTCCTATAATTTATTTCCTCAGTCAAATTACTATGTTGGCATGGCCCTCTCACCCCCTTCCTAACCCATAAATCACCCACAGTCAATCCCAAGTGACATAAACAGTTTACTAATGGTAGGAGGTAGTGTTTTAAGTAGAAAAACTAAGGATAAACATATCTTCACTTAAGATCCTGATTGACATTTTGGCCTTAGGCATCAATAGAAGATTGCAGGAGTAGAGAGGATAGAAAAGAGGGAGCCAATTCTTTGCTAAACTTATGCGCGGCTTTTATGGTAGCTAGGATCATTTCATTCAGTCTCACTCCCATTGCCAACTGCTGTTTTTCTTTCTCTGCAGTGAAGTGAGAATCCTACTAGAAAGGAAATGGCCGCCTCTTCTTCATCCTCCTCAGCTGGTGGAGTCAGTGGAAGTTCTGTCACTGGATCTGGTTTCAGTGTCTCAGACCTCGCCCCACCCCGGAAAGCCCTTTTCACCTACCCCAAAGGAGCTGGGGAGATGTTAGAAGGTGATCTCAAGCTGCTTTTTTGCTGATAATTGGATTCAGACCTGCTATGAATGTTCATTGTAAAGACTCTATTAAGTGGCTTAGAGAAGAATTTGCCCTGATTTCAGCTCCACATTTCATCTTTTGTCCCCATTTAAAAATAGTATTTTTAAAACACCAATCTCCAGAATCAGAACTTTGGAGCTAAAAAAAACTTTGGAAAACAAGGTGGTCATCTAGAGTTGTTTAGACCCAGCAAAGTGAAAGTGATTTGCCCATGTTAAAGACAAATTCAGCACTGGAGCCAGGAATTAAGACGCTTGACCTCCTGCTCCAGTTTGTTTTATCCTGGCACCAGCCTGTCTCCCTATGATTAGTAGGTTTGATGTATTTTGTCTTATGTAGTTAATCTAAAGATAGATTAACCCTATCAAAAAGGTTCTGAGGGGAAATGAAAACTAATATACTACTTTTATATGTGAAGGTGACTGTGCTGGCCCACTGCAGGACAGTGCTTTGTGGTGTTTCTAGCACTGGAGCTGGATTTTGCATCATACCATCTGCCATCTTATTCAGCACACATTTGCAAACTGGCTAGGCAAGATCAGAGCACAGGGAGTAAGCATGAAATGGCATTGATACCTGGAATTCATCAGATTCGTGTCACTTGAGGAGCTACATCAATACATTCTTAATGGGGAGCATAAAAATCACCTGAAGAGCTTATTTAAATCCCCATTTCTGGCCCACCTTAAAGATGCTGAATTAGTCTAGGTATAGCACAGGAATCTTTTTTCTTTTTTCTTTTTTTTTACTATGTCTTTATTGATTTCAGAGAGAGGAATGGAGAGGGGGAGAGAGAGAGAACATCAAAGATGAGAGAGTCATTGATCGGCTACCTTCTGCACACCCCCTACTGAGGATCGAGTCTGCAACTCGAGCATGTGCCCTGATGGGGAATCGAACCTCCATCTCCTAGATCATAGGTCGATGCTTAACTGCTGAGCCATGCCAGCTGGGCTAGAACCTATTTTGAGTAACACCCAGGGGAGTCTCATGAAAATGGTCCTTAACTATTAAACTATCATACTTTGAAAAAAGTCAACAAAGAACCCATTAAGAATTCAAAATCTACTTGATTCTAGCACTTTTGTGTTAAATTATATATTGATCTTTTATGCTTTAATATTGCAAATTTCAGTAAATGTATTTAATCTGAAAATGTCTGAGCAAGGTGCAAACTGTAGTTAGGAGTCAGCTTCTGGGGGTGATCTTTATTCATTTATATCAGGTAAGATAAAAAGCAGAGTTTTGGGTTACATCAGAGCAAATAGAAGAATCATTTTGGCAGGAAAATATGGAAAGACTAAGACCATAAGGCTTTCTAGAATTGGTTCAAAATCATGATTAGTGAAGTAGATGACAGGTAATATAGTGATACATCTGAAGTGTCTGTGTTTGTGTCTTTGCCTTTTCATTCTCTTCAGTTGTGTTAACAAAATATTCAGGTTAGTATCACAGAATCTGGAGGTAGTAATTGGGGCTTTGCTTACCATATTTGACACAGAAAACACATTATGACTTCAATTATATGTAGCAGAGACCTGGTATTAAGGAAGCTTCCCACAAAACAAATCAAAAGTCAGAGGCATTTAAATTGCTTGATGAACAACAAAAAAACCTAAATTGCTTAATGAGTTTTATAGCAGCAGAAGAGGAATCAATGTTTAACAATGGACTCTAAGATTGAATAAGATTGAAGTCATTTACATTCTAGCTACAGGAGGAATTTAATACTGGAGATACCCCCTTAGTCTCAAAGCTATAAGCATTCTTTGTCAGTCTATACGAGATTATTTAAAACATTAAAAGAAAGGCTTCTGAGATTGGTCTGAATCGTTGATGTTCTAACAAGTTACAGTTCTATCCATTTTTAGTCAGTCTTAATGTGCTTTATGGAGGAATGTGTTGGCTTTCTAGTGTAGGATGAATTAAGTTTAAATTCACAGTGCGCAGTTTTGATTCTCTTAAGTTTAAAGTTTCACTCAGCCCGGCCAGGCGTGGCTCAGCGGTTGAGCGTCGACCTAGGATCCAGGATCCAGGCAATCGCGGTTCAATTCCTGGTCAGGGCACATGCCTGGGTTGCAGGCTCGATCCCCAGTCAGGGGCGTGCAGGAGGCAGCCTATCAATGACTGTCTCATCACTGATGTTTCTATCTCTCTCTCCCCCTCTCCTTTCCTCTCTCTGAAATCAATAAAGAAATATTTTTTAAAATTAAAAAAAAATTTTTTTTTAATTAAAAAATAAGTAAATAAAAATAAAAAATAAAGTTTCACTCATATTTTAAAGCTGCTTATACTTAAGGACAGAATATGAAAAATTAAAGATGACAATCCCTGAACTGTCCTGGTTAAATCAAGAATCATCATTCCCCCCCCCC